TTTAACAAATTATTTTTCATTTCATAATTAGCTCCTTTACTGAGTAGAAGTTCAGCGACATTCTTTTGATCTGAAAAATAATTTTGACCGATAAATAAGATCAAATCAATCTTTTATTTAGTGAAAAATAAACTCATAAAATCTCATTGACAGCATTTTTAAGGTGTAGAACCGTATATGGACACCATTCCGGAGCACAGCAATTGTTGTAACATAAATGATTAATTGTTGTAAAATGATATACAATTTGTTGTATGAATGACGTGTGCGAATCGCTCACGGCAGGGCATACCAGCGTTTGACCAATTTGGCTGACCAAGCAGCAACCGGTATCGCTGCATACGAGCATACTCGCACTAATCATTTGCTTTTTTACTTTCCTTGATTAAAGACCAAATGACAAAAACCGAACCGTGAGCATTTTAAATACAACACAATCGTGTTATCGACGATTCCACACCAAGTATAACAAAAAGTGGATTTGACCTCTCCGATTTCGCTCAAACTTGGTGTATAAACTTGCTATGACCAAAAACTCGCAAAGTCAAAAAATTGGATAATAGATGGGGCAACAAAAAATTCTTCGACGACCACCCCATCCGGGCCCATTCAGGCTCAGAAAAGTGGGTTCAAAGTATAAAAATTGAAAAAAGTCAGATAGATATGGAAGAAAAAATGGTTTTTCTTGCTTAAAAGTCGGCCCACCGAAGCGAATTTACCGGAGAGAAATTACTACTTCCTACTTTTTTTCAGAATAAAGTTCTGGGAGGTCAAGATTTGCCATTTTTCATGGTTTTTCGACTATATAATTTTTTTTTCACACCGAATAGGTGGTTTGACGCTGGTAATGTGTTCTGATGGAATGCTCAGCCAATGATAAAATTTGCCTATGTTTTTATATGGAGCACATGTTTATGCTATATTTAAGCGACATCTCGACGGTACACGCTGAACTATGAAACTTCTTTATAAATATACTGCCAACTATCAATGACAGCAACCAATGACAGCAACAATAGAACGTATTTGTATTGCAAAATACTTCCACCTTGCAGATGGCGCCAAACCAAACGTCATTCTAGTCATTTTTCTCATTGGCTCAGCAGACACTCTAGAGAATCGAAAAATACCAATTGTTGGGGCTTCCTTTCCCTTTGGAAGGGCAGGGTAGACTAAAAAATTCGAAAAATTACCAAAAATCAATATTTTACAGCAATAACAGGGATAATATTCGGAAAGCTCGCAAAAATCCTAGGTACGCGTCGAACATTCCAACTACATAAAACCGCCTCTTCTGTCTCAAATTGAGGTCGATAGTTCAAAAAATCGTGCTCCTGTAAGTATTCAATCATTTTTAACTGCTTCTAAGGCACCAGCGCAGATGCGGTGTGTTTCTATAATGTAGCACCTGGTCTCTAGTTTTATTTGGCACTTGAGTCCTCGCTTCGCTCGGCTCCGGCGCTATCATGTTCACCCAAAGTCACATTGGTAGTTGATGAACGAATGATCACTTGGTAGTTATCAGAAGGCATTTAATCTTAAGATGTCTTGAACAATTTAACCAACTCATTATGTTCGTCAAACATCTTTCGTAGTCCTCATATTATTTCTGCCCTTGAACTTTGAAAGTAAGCATGAAACCTGCATACTGTTGGACTGGAAGGTTACAGTTTAGGCGATGTTTTTGGAGATTGCCTTACATTTTGCCAAAACTCAATTCCTCTATCGAAGCATTTGTCGTACAGCGATAATTTGTGACTACGAAATCGGTTAACTTTTCAATTCTATGGGCGCTGCCATATTGAAAATTTACGTGCGATATGGTGCACGCACTCAATAGTTCCACTTATTTTAATAAGGAATCTCTATAGGTGGCGCTGCCACATCGTCATTGACATCGAGTCAAATATTATCAAATATAATAACATTGTTTATATAGGCTTTTATCGCAGCACGGCATTTGTGAGCTCCAATGTTCTATTTACTGTATGAAGAGTCCAAAAAACGATTGATAAGCCATTTTCTGTTTCACCGCATAATTTTTTCTCGCATTGGAGAAAACAATACATTTTCTTCATTTCAAAATGAGTACATTGTCGTGACGTGAACAACAATGAACATTTAAAAACCATCAATACCTTTCTGTGTCTGGTCGTTTTTAAATCAGTGATTCAAGCTTACACAATTCTCCAAGCTACTTTATCTTGAAACAATCTACGTGTGTCTTTTCCTCCTTTTAAATCTCTTTCATTCAAAACAAATTTCACTCATGTATTGTTTGTCCTGACGCGAATTATGAATTTTTTCATTTTATTCATTTTTACATGAAATAAAATCTCTTTTACAATAAAACACATATAATATTTCATTGGCATCAATCCACATTAATGTACGTTGTATCGAAGAACAATTTAAAAAAATTTCCTTCAAACGTTTGAAAATTCAATTCGAAAATCAAAACTGCATTAATAAGATCCTTCTTGAGGCCGCGCGAAATCAAACGGAAAGCATAACAATAAATCCATGTATTAAAAATAGGAGAGATAACTGGCTACAAACACACAGACACACATTCAGTTTTATATATATAGATAAAAAGAATTACATTGGTAATCCCGAACTTTTCCGTACCGTTGGCCTGCGTTGTCTGTTGGTACTTTAGTTATTTTTTGTGAATTTTCTTGAAATAAAGGCAGTGAAAATATAATAATGAAAATAAAGTGAAAAATCGGTCACTTTAACTAAAACTTCGACAATTTTGTATGAGAGGTACCCGGAAACTGATTCTCATTGGCTTTAAACTTTCAGAAGTTTCATTTTTGGAGAAACAAATAAGATTCTGAACGTTTCATGTTGATCGCATTTGCAGAAGTTTGGTTTTGGGCCCTCAATTTTTTCCAAGAATAAAAAGAATTACATGAATGAATTTTGTTGATTGGGAATTTGGTCTTTGGGAATTTTTTTTTGGGAATTTTTTTTTGGGAATTTTTTTGGGAATTTTGGATTGGGAATTTTGTTGATTGGGATTTTTTTTTTGGGAATTTAATCCCAGAACCGTGAAAATATAATAATGAAAATAAAGTGAAAAATCGGTCACTTTAACTTAAACTTCGGCAATTTTGTATGAGAGGTACCCGTAAACCGATTCTCATTGGCTTTAAACTTTCTGAGGTTTCATTTTTTGGAGAAAAAATAAGATTCTGAAAGTTTCATGTTGATCGCATTTGCAGAAGTTTGGTTTTTGGCCCTCAATTTTTTCCAAGAAAATTTCGACAAAAATTGAGGACAAAAAATCAAACTTCCGCAAATGCGATCAACATGAAACTTGCAGAATCTTATTTTTTCTCCAAAAAATGAAACCTCAGAAAGTTTGATGCCAATCAGAATCGATTAACGGGTATCTCCCATACAAAATTGTTCACAAATCGGTAATTTTAGGTACCCGTAAATCGATTCCGATTGGTTTCAAAATGTCAGAATCTTATTTTTCTCTCAAAAAATGAATTCCCAGAATGTTTGAAGCCAATCGGACACGATTTGCAGGTACCTACCATACAAAAGTGTCAATTTTTTGAGGTTTTTCTTAGGGCAAGGACCTTAGGATCAAATCGAAAATGGCTCATCTTCGAACTTAAACTAAGTTTTTTAGATACAAAACTTTTGGCATTTCCAGATTTCGATTATCTCAATTATTTTTTGAGTTATCGTGTTAACAAACACCAACGACAACGACAACGACGACAACGACGACAACGACGACGACGACGACGACGACGACGACGACGACGACGACGACGACGACGACGACGACGGCACACGAACGGAAAAGTGTCTCAAAAAGTGGTTTTCTACGCATTTCATGAGTTTTTATGATGATCTAAGCTAATTTTGCGAAAAAAGTTTTCGGGACCAATTCCTATACTTTCCCTTGACATGGTGTGTACGGAAAAGTAATATAACAGGTTTCACTTATATGGCACAGAATTGGCATTACACAGCAAAAAATAAAAGTCTACATCTGGGTGTTTTTTCAGCTAAAGACTCATTCAGCCGATATTTCTGCTAGTACCTCGAGCTACAGGCGAAATTCCGCTTATAATCTAGTCGGTATTTCGTCTGAAACTCCGTTTGCTAGGCAAAATATAGGACTGGGCCATACCAGTCGAAATTCCGCCTAAATGTAGACATTTATTTTTGACTGTGTAGGGAGGTAATATTGACGAAAAAGGGTGAAAAAATCGCACAATCACACCACAACTCCCCAAATCATGGCAGTGCACCTACTTTTTGACCAGAAACGATTGCATTTTCGAATTTCCCGTCAAAACGTAGTCTAAGAAGGATCGGTCCAAAATTTGTTTTGAACTTTACGATGAAAAAATCAATCGTTTATTCAATGAAAATCAATATTCAACATTACCATTGAAAGCAGCCAAATGAAGAGGTGTATCCTTGGAATTATTTTCAATATTAACCTCAGCTCCATCGTCGATGAGTTCTTGAGCTTCCTTCACATTACCTGAAAAATAAAGAAGTAGATTGAACAAAGCATTTTTTAAAAACACAAATACTTGAAATTACCAGTCTGAGCAGCGTCATGCAAAGCTGCCTTTCCATATATGTCTTTTTCGTTTACTAAAAGTTAATAAAATAGAAGATCAGTGAAGTGAATCGAAAGAAAATGTTGCGTACAGTGACGCAGTGTCAAGGTTTAAATTTTCTTATCCGCTCGATAGAGCCTCCATAGATTGAATCGAAAGAGTTTTTCAAAAGAGAATCTTTGCGAAAATTTTCAATATTCTGCTACAAATTACGGCTGTAAACTATATTCAAATGATTGGTTTTGATTTATATTTTAATACTATGAAGAAAAAAAAACTAAAAAAATTTATTTGTATTAAATTTTATTGAAATTATTGATTTCATTAAAACGATCATTTTGACAATCGTATAAATGTCAAGTATGGCATGAAGTTGCAGTGTATGGTGAAATGTCACAAATCATTGTACGACGATTGTCAAAATATGGATCAAACGAAATCAATTATTTTAATAAAATTTAAAACAAATCAATTTTTTTCTTAATAGTATTAAAATATTGGGTGTAGAAATAAGTTTTAAAGGATTTTTGCCAGATGGCGGAACTTGTATTATATCGCATCTGGCCATACTGTAACTATATTCACGTTCAAGCTACGTCAAGTGACACTACTTTTCAGTATGTGTCAAATTGCCAAAGTGTAAACAACATAATTTTTTTCGCCTTCAATCATGTCAACATACGTGCCAAATAAACAGCATTTCAGGGAAGTTTTGCTTTTCTTCTATAATTCGAAGAAAAAGCGGATATCCTTGCATCAAGTGTGCACTAATAATGAAGATTGAACCATTCTCGATAGAGTCAAGCAGAAAAAACCATTCTTAGATCGCTGCTCCTTGTCACTATAGAGGGTGCTGTAAGTTCATCACTAAAAAATGCATTTTTTTCATTTTTGGGGGCTGGAGGGGGGGAAGGGGTGGCGTAAATTTATCAAAATAATAGAATTACTCGTTCCTAATAATAATCAATCGGCACATATCAATTATTGACAGCAGAACCACAAAAATTTGACCCATGACACAAAAAAGTCGTTTTTTCGCGAAAAATGGATCAGTGACATTTCATAGAACAAATCAAATATTTCTAAGGACGGCTTCGGACGGGACCGGCTTGGTCAGCCCGCGAACTCTGCAGACCTTGCTCCTTCTGACTACTACCTTTTCCGTTCGATGCAAATGGCCCTGTCCGAAGTACGCTTTCGAAATGTTGAAGAAGTGCGAAAATGGGTTGATGACTACATAACCTCAAAAGACGAGGACTTCTTCAAACGAGGAATCCACAAGTTGCCCGGTAGATGGCTAGGGGTCATAGCTAACGATGGCCAATACATTGGTTAATGTACTCATTCATTTTATTTTGAAATAAATGTATCTTTTCATAAAAAAATCCTTTAAAACTTATTTCTACACCCAATATAAATCAAAACCAATCATATGAATATAGTTTACAGCCGTAATTTGTAGCAGAATATTGAAAATTTTCGCAAAGATTCTTTTGAAAGAGTCTCTTTTGAAAAACTCTTTCAATTCAATCGATGGAGGCTCTATCGAGCGGATGGGAAAAATTGAACCCTGCGCAGTGTGCTGTGTGAGTGAAACTTGATAAAGAAATGGAGCTTCAATCTTACCGTTTCCCCCAGATGGTGCTCCACTCACATCCACGATCAGGAACTGTGGAAATAAAACAAAGTGATTAAATTGGAATGGAACAATGGATGAGACTGTAATCGCCCATTCCACACGAAATCAATCAAAATTCACATGGGTTCTCAGAATTGGCTGAAACTTTGCACGAATGTTGGGTTTGACAAAAAACTCAGAACGCCATTTTCGAAAAAATCGATTTTTCGACGATCTGTACGGACCCACCAGTAATAGATACCGGGCTGAAATTTTGGCGTTCTGAGTTTTTTGTCAAACCCAACATTCGTGCAAAGTTTCAGCCAATTCTGAGAACCCATGTGAATTTTGATTGATTTCGTGTGGAATGGGCGTAATGGTTTTCAACTGTTTTTCATTTGGCTCATTTAATTTTGATCCTCAAATTTCGAAAATGATCAGAAACTTTTTTTATTAATTTGATCAGAAACAAACCTAATTTGATCAGAAAAATTTGGACATTAGCCGATTGTTTTTCATTCGATTTTTGCAGTGGAAGATGTTTTTCAATTGAAAAACTTTAAAATGGACATTTTTTCATTAATGAAATGAGTTTCGAAAAAATTATCACAAATTGTCGACAAAAAGATTCAAACGAAAAAGATTCGATCCAAAATTTTTGTCGTCTCACCTCCGATACCACCAAGCCAACGAGCAGCAGTGTGAAAGATCTTTGACCCAGCATTTTTCCAGCTTCGAACTATCAAAAGTGTACTGTGAACGTGTCAATTGAAGAAAATTGACGAACTGTTTGATTGACAAACGAATCGAGCGCATCTTCTTATATACTTTTCAAGTATGGTCACGTCAGCAATACATTAATGATATAATTCAATCCACATACAAAGACAATTCCAATTGAAGCTCACAAAATATTATCGCACACATTTTTCAAGAATACAATGTCAAACAATTGATGGAATTACAATTCCACCTGTGCACGTGTCGATAATTTTGCGCTCCACATCATATGAATCGCATCGAAAATGCTAGATGTTTACATTCAGTCCTTCACTACCTTCAATATGGTTTGAAAAATAATCCAATTGGATCATGAAAAAAATATTATCGCACACATTTTTCAAGAAAACAATGGCAAACAATTGGTGGGACTACAATTCCACCTGTGCACGTGTCGATAATTTTGCGTTCCACATCATAAGACGCCCATAGAATGAAAAAAGAACTTCTGAAATCTTTGCCGTAAAATGAAATGAAAAAAAACTTAAAGCAAAAAAGAAACAAATGAAGTTGCGAGCAAAAGTGGATAAATCCAATTGGGCAGATATTTTCTATTTTGGCCGGACATTATTCTAAATTGGGAAGAAATAAATTGAAATTATGCCCGATATTACATTCCGATTTGGGCAGGGTTTTTTACCGAAATGGTTAGAAAAAAATCCAATCTGATCAGATTCTAAAAATGTCATAGATTTTATCTGAATTGAACAGATATTTTTTCCAATAATGTCAGAAATAAATCGTCTAAAATGTACCAATGGAGTCCGATTTGTACAGATATTTTTCTGAAACGTACAGATAACAGTCTAATTTGATCGGAATACAGTCTAATTTGGTCCTAAAAATATTCCGAATTAGTCATACTTTGCTCTACTAAAATCAGATATGTTTCTATTTAGGGCCGATACTTTTCCAATTCGTCATACTTTGCTCTATTCCGGTCGATATTTCTCAACTAAAATCAGATATGTTTCTTTTTAGGGCCGATATTTTTCAATTTTCAAAAAAACATGGACATTTATGTTTACATTTGACCCAGTGATTGAAATAAGAAATTTTCAGAGCTACCGGTTACAAAGAATAAGTTATTCTATTATAAATTCCAGCGCCATAATGTCAGGGGAAGTTAAGCACCAACCTTCTTTTGAAAAATATGTTGTTGTCTTATGTTTTCTTTGAAGAACAATTTCTTCATAAAAATTATATGAAACTTCACCTTCTTGCGTGTAGTGATTCAAATTATGAAACAACTACAACTCAGAGTGAAGCTATGAAATACCGGAGGAGATAACAGTGATAATTGATAAGAGCTATCACGGTCCTTATCTCCTTACTGATAAGAGATAAGTGATGACTATCTACAGCAAAATTGTAGGTTTCAACGAGATCTAAAACTTTGTTGAACAAAGTTCTGCTCCATCGCATATGGGGTACGAGTTATGAGAGAAAAACCTACAAAACGCAAAAAATCCATATAAATGTATGGAAAAATATCAATTTTCCCAATGTTCATTCAGAGATGTATTTATGCCAAAGTGAGGGGTTTTATCAAAAACTAATGTTTGGGAGGTATAGCTAATTTTCGACGAGGAATCCAAAAATGCAATTATTCTGGGGCTGAGGGGTGAGGTTTACCCACTTTGGGGTAGTTTTGTACTTTTTCACATTTTGACCCCTGCCCTTCGAACTGGGGCAACATGGGGGGCCAACACTATGTGCCAATGGAATCTATAGGATCAGGCGCAACTTTCGTCGGATATAACCTATTTACCCATTTGAGTTTTAAGGGGTGAAAAATGCGTCGAAAATGTTGGGGTGAGATTTTTTAACTTTCAAAGGCGAATTCAGGGCAGAAGGGAGGGTTTTTCGGGAAAAAAGTGTTCATAGCCTGAGGCTAATTTTTTGCGAGCAATCCGAAAATGTAATTGGTTTGGGGGGTAAAGGGGTTTTTGACCCTATTTTGGGGTTATGTTGGTCATTTTTCGCTATTTTTTCACTTTTTGACCCTCCCTCGCGTCACATGGGTAGAGGGCAGCTTTACCCAAAGTGTCATTTGATTCTCTAGAGTATCTTGAACATTTCATATGAACACATTATTGTGCCCAAACCATTTTTAGGTAAAAAACACGATTTTCACCCCTAGAAAAACAAAGCGATTTCCCATATAAAAGTGTCATTTTTGAACAAAATTCCAAAAATTTCAAGAAATGTCGTTTTTGTACCAAATTTATGGGCAAGTGAGTATTTGATTATTCACAGACCCCCATTATTTTCGCAAAATATTTGCAGTTTGCCTTGACCTTTGCTTTTTTGAGTACTTCCTACACAAATGTATCATTTTTTCGAGGGTTTTCTTAGGGGAGGTACCCGAGATGCACGTCAGAATGGGCTCAAATTTTAATGGTTCCTAAGTCTCAACATATCAAAACTTTTGTCCTTTTATAGTTTGCAATTATCTCGTAAACTTTTTGAGATAGCGTGTTAACAAAAAACGTGTACGCGGACGCGAACGCTATTTTGCACATTTTTCATAGTAAACAACACATTTTTGGAGGCAGATAGGTCTTGATCGATAGGATTTCATCCCATCTACATTGCCTAGTGTACAGATATGAACTACTTGAAGTCTTTCGTGGAGTTTTTGTGGTTTGAAAGTGAAGGAGTCATGAAATTTTGGCTAGTAAAACCAATACTTTTCCATAAAAACAAAGTTTGCGGAAAAGTAATTGTAAATAAATGGTCTTACCGTAGTAAGACGAACTTTTTCGCAGTGGGATCCAAATACTCTCTATATTCAGTGATCTGTTTCACAATCAATCCAAATAATAAACAACCAAATTGATTATGTTTTAATATTATTATTTGAATCTTTATTCAATGAGAATCGATTTTTTTTGAAATTTCATTTCAATAAACATTAGTTTGTTGGTTTGTTTCAATAAAAATTTAAGGTTGACTTTTATCTGGAAATACAGTAATTGTTCCACTGACAAATAAAAAAATTATTTCTTAATATTAAAATGCCCTTCAAAACTAGTGATATTTAGAAATTATCGCGTCACGGCTTTTGGAAAAATGCTCAAATGTTGGATTAAATAAATTCAAACGTTTCTTTTAACTTTCATACAAAAGTGGTATTTTCCAAGGGATTTGGAACGAAAATGTAGAAATGATACCAAAGCCGTAGAGAAATAAATATTATGTTATTCAAATAGCACTGTTATTTTATAACAAAGACTGGAGTTTGTGAGATGAAATTTCTGAATCGTATGCGTTTTGCAAGCTTTATGCACAAAAATTCTATTCCAAGTGGAAAAAATATTGCGAGTTGAAAATATCACCGCGAACAATTGCATTTTTGACCCCATTGAGACTTCAGATACGGTCGATTGAACTGGAAATCGATTCTTCATAAAAAATTAAGTGATATATAGTTGCCAATAATCTTTATAAGGTGGTTAGTTTGTGAGCTATGACCGATTTTGTACGCAAAGTGTGACCATTTCGGAAATTTTCAATATTTTCACCTACAAATTCGAATTTGATACTGAAATCATGGGAAAATGATATAATCTTGCTCTCTAATTCTCAATATTTTGATGAAATAATAGCAGTTTGATATGATGAAAACCATGTAGGGGGGCTATTTTAGGTATCTTCCATAGAAAAGTATGAATTTTCAGGGATTTTCAAAGGTTGGCCATAGGCTTGGTTATCCTAGGCTATATCTGAAGTGGGTGAAAATCTAATGGTTTCTAAGTCTAAACAAGCCCAAACTTTTGCCATCACCAGATCTCATTTATCTCGACTGGTCGTTGAGCTATCGTGTTAACAAATTACATTAAAAAATTTGCGTACAACGTACGACGTGGAACAGACTCACAAAACATCGCTCTAAAACCCATTTTTTGTGTTCTACGGCCTCGAAAACGGATAGAAATCATATTTTTGGGGTGTCTTAAAATTTGGGCCAAATCAAATACTTTTACGCAGTCCACGACATGGGCCTGCGAAAAAGTAATTCATTGCATTGAAGAATGAGTAGTATTTAACCTTCAGTCCGTGCTCTGGGCATACAGTGCCCGAGGCGAACTTCAAATGTAAATACAAGTACTAAAATAAAAAATAGCCACATAAGTGTATTACCATTCGATAGCTTGAACCTTTTGCTATACACCAGTAAAATTTCATGTTAATATGTGTTTGCATATGTGAGATATGTGTGTTTGTAAACACATGTGCACCGTACGTGCTCTGGGGTATACAGTGCCCGTAGTGAAT